GGTCTGTCTGCAGTGAGATAAACTCTCCAGAGTTAGAACTTGAAGCACTGCTTCCTCCAGTTGGACCTACTTTCTAATCATCCATTTGGTGTGAATCCATTGATGAAGCTAGCATCCTTGTAGTCCAGTTACCTTTCAGGGCCTTACTACTTGTGGACCAGCTCTTGAACATGTTAAAACATGACACAGAAGGATACCACAACTAAATTTCTTTATTGGACAAATCAGGTGAAGCTACTCATGAAGATAGAGAAAAGAGATAACACCTAGTGAATAAAAGCTAGTTATCAATCCAATTAAATATCTTAAGCTGTGAAACCCCAACCCCCAAGTAGTATCCAATCCTATGTGTCAGTATGAGGTTCTGGATGAGAAGCCCAAACCTAGCAACCAATTCTTGGATTTACTGAAAGTACTGTCCTACAGTTTTGGAATTTGGTGTGAAGTAAGTATAAAAGTAAATGCCTAGCCAGGGCTTGTTGGTGCACTTGGGAAGAGGTTTGGGATTTCAGGGTCATGCTCAGCTGCAAAAAAAAAGTTCTGATCTAGCTTGGGTTACATGAAACCCTGTCTTTAAGGGGCTTGGGAGTGGGGAGGACAAATAGTAATATGTGAGGTAGAAATTTCAGTAAAGAAAAGCCTTTTGAGCAGTTAGTGTTTTCTTAGGGTTTCTATTGCTGTGAAGAGACCGTGACCATGGCAACTCCTATAAAGGAAAACATTTAATTGAGGTTTAGTCCATCACCACGATGGCAGGACATGGTGGCATGCCTACAGACATGGTGTTGGAGAAGGAGCTGAGAATTCTACATCTTGTTCTGCGGGCAGTATAAGGAGTCTGTCCCAGTAGGCAGGCTTGAGTTTATAAAACCTCAAAGCCAGCTTCCACACTGACACTTCTAACAAGGCCACTACTACTCCATATGACCACACCTAATAGTGCCATTCCCTGTGGGCAAAGCAATCAAATACACGAGTCTATGGGGGCCATACCTATTCAAACCACCATAGTATTTAAGGTGTGATTTTGAAGGAAAGGGTTTATATTAAGATTTTTACTAATCAGGATAAAAATGATCTACTTTAATGTCTTGAATTTTTTTTAACTGATCTTAGTCATTCTTTGACCTCTGTAAAATATATGAGTTTGATTTGAGTGGACCCTTATCAGAGCATATCACATCCTTCTCTTTAGCCTTAAGGAATAAAGATGATTCCTTCGAGGGAAAATGATAGGACTGATCTTACTATCATGAAAATTCTTAGAAATGCCTGATTGTAGTTTTGTAGCTGCTCACTACAAGCATATTCTCTGTTGGAGCTTTAGTTTTATCTCTGTGAAGGAAAGTGGGATGAGCCAGTGTATTCTAAGGCACCTTCAACCTGAAATGCTGAACAAAAAAATTACTGACTTGTTAAAATTTTGTGTGCTAAGGTATGTTGTGCCCATTGAGCAAATAAGCAAGTAATAGGGAGTTTCTGTGCATTTTATTTTTGCTGTGTAACTTAAGTCAGACCTGGGGGGGGGGCACCAACATTTTTTATGGAGTCATACCTCCATCTTGTGGTCTTTAAGAAAATTGCCAGTAAATTTGTTTCAGAGTTTCGAGGATAAAGAATTAGTGGAAACACTTTGGATTTAATTTCTATCACAAATAGCCATACCAAGTATACATACACAAAATAGTATCTGTTGCACAAATATATACCAAAGGCAGACTTAACAACTGGAGGGCTCCATAGAGTTGGAGGAGAAAAGTTAAGATGTGAAGGTTTTTGTTTTGAAAATACTATAGTGAAAAAAAAAATGCAACGAAGTAATTTTTAAATGATGGAATCAGTATAAGTAGTCAGTGTACACTGTTATAATTACTTCACCCAATTGTGGCATTCGTGTAAAAGAGCAACAAGTATAGGCAAGATGTAAGCTACATGTGAGTTTCTGTGTTTTACAGGATAATGCTACCTTCAGGTTTCTTTTGGTTTGTGAGGGATAGACAGTCTGGGAGTAAATCCAGTAGATTTTAGTAATGGACTTTAAGAGCTAGTGATTCGGCAGGTTTTCCTGATGCCACAGAGGCCCTAGGTTCAATCGTTAGCACTGTGAAACAACAACAAAGTTTTAAGTAAATTTCAACCTTAAAGAAGGGAAAACTTGGAGCTCTGTGACCTACTTAGAGAAGATATGAGTGAGTGATTCTTACACAATGGAATTTCGTTATAGCTGTGAAACACTTGGGAACAGATTGTATTCACTTAAGTGGCTAGAAGTGGGGGAAAAAATGAACATACCAGTGTGGCTGCTCAGTAGATTCATATATTCATATTTAAAATAATATATGGAGAGTATACAATAAACACAATTGACATAACAGAAAATGAAACAAATGGCTAAAGTAAATCTAAGCTTTTCATGATTCTCACAAATGACTATAAAAGAAGAAAACTTTATACTGTATTTTATGTTCTCCAGAACATAATGCAAATTTCTTTACATTAGGGAGCAAAGTGTTACCCAATTTTGACATTACAGGGTAAAATACCTTAAAGGAGTCTAAACTAAGATGAGGTACTGATCATATTTACTCATGCCTGAGTATATCAGTTTTTTTTGTTTTGTTTTTATTTAAATTGGAAACAAGCTTGTTTTACATGTCAATCCCAGTTCCCCCTCCCTCCCCTCCTCAACTGCCCCCCATTGACTCCCCTATCCCATCTGATTTCTGCTCCCCGTGGAGGGTGAGGCTTTCCATGAGGGATCTTCAAAGTCTGTCATATCATTTGGATGGGTATGTCAGATTTTTAAGAATCCCCCACCTCGGGAGGCAGAGGCAGGCAGATCTCTCTGAGTTCGAGGCTACCCTGGTCTATAGAGCAAGTTCCAGGAAACCTCCAAAGCCACAGAGAAACCCTGCTTCAAGAAAAAAAAACAAAAAAACAAAACAAAAAAAAGAATTTTTTTTCCTAAAGGTCCTGTTAAAATTTCAGTTGCTATTTTTGTTGAGCATTTCCGAAATTAAACTTGTCTACAATTTTTTCTTTTAAATATTTTTATCCATATTTACTGAGGGTGGGTTGCTATATATAAAGTTGGGGTGTCATTCTTAATAAAATGATCTGTGATACCATAGTTTTTACTAATACAGATCAAGTGTGTTTTATTTAAAATTCCCATATCAGTAAATGTTTTATGTTCATTATTTCTTGTTTAGCATTTTCCTTTAACAGTTTTCATACTCCAAATATGGAATATACTTGCATATATTGCATTTCACTGCTGTTTACTATAATTCTCTGGTTTCCAACTGCTGCCAAATAGGAACTACATTCCTTTTTCTGACTTATTGGTTGTCTTAATTTTTATTTTGTCTTAGTACTTTTTGTTTTTGCCATCCGCTGTGAACAATTTCTAAGAGGATAAGGGCCTGAAGAGATGGCTTAGCAGTTAAGGACACCTAACTACTGGTTCCCAGTACCCACATGGCAGTTTTAGTGATTTGACACGAGGCACAAATATATGTATATTCATACACAAAATACTCATAGACATAAATAAAAACTAACCTTAAACAAAAAAAGAAGGAAAATAGGCTGTGGTTGTAGCTCCTGAAAGAATGCTTAACTAGCATGCAGGAGGCCCTGAGCTTGATCTCCAGCACACAATAAGATGTGATGGGAAAATGTCCCTCTGTATACTGTGAATATATTTTTCTCTTATTGGCTGATGAATAAAGCTGTTTCAGCCAATGGACAAGTGGGGCTACCAGACTAGGAGAAAGCTGGGGAGAGGGATGCAGAGAGGGAATCTCAGGTGATATGCTGTGTAGCTGCCAAGGAAGCAAGTGGTCAGAGTATCATTCGTAAGCCAAGACCATGTGGAGATACACAATTAATAGAAATGGATTAATAATTAGGAGAGAGATAGCCAATAAGAAGCCTGAGCCATTGGCCAGTTTATAATTAATACAAGACTCTGTTTATTTGGAACTGAACAGCCGCAGAACTGGGCAGGACAGAAAATTCCGCCTACAAAGATACATTGAAATGTCCACTGATAGTGCTGTTAGCTTTAGGAATGAACTGTTGTGCAAATTTCCAGCAGGATTTGCTTTAACAGGTTTGTTTTTAGTATGTAGTAAAACTTAATTTGAGTTATTAAAAGTTGATATTGTGGACCACTTTTCAAGGCAAAACAATTTCATTGCCAGTTAATCTTGAGCTCTCATTTAATCCCTTATTCCCATAGAATGATTTGCTTTGATTGATGTGGTTTCTTAAAAATGCTACTGTTGCCATTATTCACAGGTGATTTTCAAACTGGCATTTTCAAAGTTCCCAGATACTTGCTCTGTTTTCTGAAATTCTCATGCTTGAAACAGTGAGGTATCCTGGAATATGAATTCTTATATCACTTCTATAACTGATATTGTTACTCAGTCAACGTTCTCAACAAATAAGTGCAAATTACTTTTATAACTGGCTTACTTTCTACTTACACAGGCAAAGGAGATGGGCAGGTTTCTCAATGTTTAATGCTAGGTTATTCTCAGCAAATAGTGAAGCGGGCTAGAGAGATGGCCCAGAGGTTAAGATCAACGACTGCTCTTCTAGAGGTTCTGAGTTCAAATTCCAGGAACCATATGGTGACTTACAACCATTTATAATGAAATCTGGTGCCCTCTTCTGGCCTGCAGGCATACATGGAGGCAGAATGTTGTATTCATAATAAATCTTTAAAAAAGAACTGGTGAAGCAATTTACAATCTCATCTGCAGTGTATATGAGTACCATTTGCTAAGGATAATATTCTTACCTTCTTGGTAAATGTGTGCTTTATTTGTCCCTAAATATGTACAGTTGTTCATTTGTCAAAATTTGCTTGTAAGTGGCAGTGTTTTAAGAATATAAAGTCATAGCAAAAGGGTTGAATTTGTCAATCATGCAAAAAATGACTGGTACCCTTTTAATATTATCTTAGCAAATGAAGTTAATTATCTTTTATTGAGTACATTTTGGTTTGTTCCAGTAGCCGGATCGAGCTGGGGGATGTGACACCACACAATATTAAACAGTTGAAGAGATTGAACCAGGTCATCTTTCCAGTCAGCTATAATGATAAATTCTACAAGGATGTGCTAGAGGTTGGCGAGCTAGCAAAACTTGGTACGTTTTTTTCTCCTTTTCAAAATTTGTATTCTTAAACTGTATTTGTTAATATTAGAGCAAATAATACAGGCTCCTTATTTTATAAGCAAGTTGGAATGTTACAGAGTTTTGAGAAAGATCAACATTGAATATTTGACTTTAGAAGCAAATACTAAATGTCCTTTTTTAAAAAAGTCTGGGCAGCCAGTTGGCAGTGGCACATGCCTTTAATCCCAGCAGTTGGAGGGCAGAGGCCAGCCTGGTTTACAGAGCAAAAGTGCCAGGACAGGCTTCAAAAGCTACACAGAGAAACCCTCCAATAAAAAGAAAAAAAAAGTGGGGGGTGGTGGTATGTGTGTGTACCGGCACACACACAATACAGTGACCACATAGGGACATTAGAGAACAACTTAAGGGGGTTGGTTCTAGCCTTCCACCATTGTAAGTTCCAACAGTTGAACTTAGGTTTCCAGACTTGGTGGCAAGAACCTTATCTACTGAGGCTATCTCCCTGGCTCCTAGATGTTTTCTGTTATTTACTGTGAGCCTGTGTGTTTATCACTAATTTCACTATTACTGAGAAAACTTAATCTTCCTCGGAAGATGTAAGTCTTGAGGGCATTGATATTCTCAGAAGAGTAGCTAGTTAAAATCTAATGCCTATAACAACTTTTGTTTTTAAAAGGAGCCGATTAAATAAAATGTTGACATTTACATCTTTGTTTTTTCTTTGGTAGCATATTTCAATGATATAGCTGTAGGTGCAGTGTGCTGCAGAGTGGATCATTCACAGAATCAAAAGAGACTTTACATCATGACACTAGGATGCCTTGCACCTTACCGAAGACTAGGAATAGGTAAAAATTATGTGTTTTGTTCTGTTGTTTAAAGAAAACTTGGGAAGCCAGGAGTTGGTGGAGCAAGCCTTTAAAGAGGGATCTTTGAGTGTGATGACATCCAGAGCTAAACAGAGAAATCCTGTCCCAAAAAAGAAAATAAGAAAAGAAACTGGGAAGGGAATACTGAATTTTGAAAAGTAAAATGAAAACTATTGCTTAGTGTTCATTTGGAAGTCCCATAAATTTGTTCACATCAGCCTGGAATTATTTGCAATAAAAAGTCATCACTGGGCCATGGTGGCACATGCCTTTAATTCCAGCACTTGGGAGGCAGAGGCAGGCAGATCTGAGTGAGTTCCAGGACAGCCAGGTCTGTTATACAGAGAAACTTTAACACAGTGAGAACAAAAATTGGGGAAATAATGGGTGTCTAGTTATCATTCTAATTCTATGTCAGTACCTAGTAAAGATGGCAAGTAGATGGCAAATTTCAAGGTTGATTTGTAAAGTTATTTGTTGTTTGTCTTATTAATAGGAACTAAAATGCTAAATCATGTCCTAAACATCTGTGAGAAAGATGGCACTTTTGACAACATCTATCTGTAAGTACCTAATGTTCATCTAAGTGTCTGATAAATTATCTCTCTAAATCCCAATCAGAAACATTGAGATCTGTCCACTCTCTGTACATTTGATTGAAAACAGCATGAAGGTATGCTTGTCCCTTGATATCCATAGAGATATAAAAGGGAGATTATAGAGCGCTCATTTGATGAGAGCATTGGCTGTTCTTCCAGAGAACCCCAGATGGTGTCTCAAAAACATTTGTATAACTCCAATTCCAGGGGACCCTGCACCCTCCTAAGTGGTACACAGGTATATTTGCAGATGGAAATGTCCATGCCCATAAAATAATTTTTAGAAAAAAAATTGAGTGCATTTATTTAAGATGTCACAAATTCATATAAAAGTGCGTACTATTTACAGATGACCTATTCCTATCCTCCCATTCTTTAAAGTGACGTAATTTACTTAGGATACCTAGAAAAAAGAAAATGATACAGAAGTTTTTAGACAACTTTATATTTCAGGATTTATTGAATTGTGGTTGGAAATTGTGGGTGATGAGTATTCTTGTTATATTTGGTTTTAGTTATATTTAAGGTACCTAAAATGAAACCAAGATTGCAATCTAGGTATTCAGAAGTTTGAAATCATTAATACCAGTAATAGTTGATATATTTTATTCAAGGTTATCAGTAACTTGCTCATTTGTAATAGTTTAATAATCAAAGTTAGAGATAACCTAGTTGAGATTATACTTGAGTCTCAGAAGGCTTCAGTATGAAGAGCCAAGACAGCTTGGCATGGTGGCTCATGTCTTTAATCCTAGCACTTGCACTCAGGTGGCAGAGGCAGGTGGATTACTGTGAGTTTTAGGCCAGCCAGAGAGAGACCCTGTTTCAAAATCAACTAACAAACATAAAGAGCTAAGATAAAAATCACAACAACAGATTGTTTCATATTCATATTGGGGGAGATTAAATTATGCAGTGTCATTCTGGAGCGTAATGAAAGAAGCTCAAGAAGATATATTTAGGCAATTGAGACTGAAATGTATTTTTGCTGTTGTTTTTAGTGTCTATCTTTTCTGGGAGGGGCATGTGCACGAGGTTACAGGTATCTAAGGAGGCTAGAGACGTCAGCAATCTCGAGCTGAAGTTACAGGTGGTTGTGAGCTGCCTGGTGGCAGTGTTGGGTCAGACAGAACTCTGATCCTCTGGTAGACTGAGCCTCATCTCATGATAGTTAACCTTTGTTATATATAAAAATAGGCACTGATCCTCCTAATCTCAGCCTTCTGCCTTGCAAGTGGGGGAATTAGGTTAAAACTGTAAAATTGTTGTCAGGTTTACTGATAACGAATTGACTAACCTTTGTTAAATATTGGTCATTATAAAGAAAGTGTACAAAATGTAATAGTCTACCTCTGACCAATTTGAAGCTATGTGTGGTTAAGAGTTGAAAGTTGATGAAACTGTCTTATATATGTATCTATGTCTCAGGCATGTCCAGATCAGCAATGAGTCAGCGATTGACTTCTACAGGAAGTTTGGCTTTGAGATTATTGAGACGAAGAAGAACTACTATAAGAGGATAGAGCCTGCAGATGCTCATGTGCTTCAGAAAAACCTCAAAGTCCCATCTGGTCAGAATGCAGAGACACAAAAGACAGACAACTGAACAAATTACAAAAGAACTTTCTTGCACTTGCTTGTCGCCAAATAAAAGAAAGACCCATTGATTCCCCTCCCCCTTTCTTCAGCTTTTCTCCCTTGATATTCCTCCTTTCTTTCCTCTTAAAGTTTGTAATACTTTCAAGGACTCTTAAAAATGATCATGTTTGGATTGTTTCAGTTCTCTTATTTTTGTGAGGTGGTTGGGTTGAAGGAAAGAGAAAATAGGTCTGTATAGTTTCACAGTTAAGATGTCCTCTCAAATTGGGTATCAGATGATTTCAATTTTTTTTAACATCCTGCTTTCACATTGAAGGGCAGAGCCTACAATATTGTTTATTTCAAAAAAAGCCACAGCAATATCTTATTCTCTAATTCATAGACAAGCTTAGTGTATTTGTGGTACTTTGAGTTTTAAAGACTATCTGTGGGATGTTAATCCCTGACATTGCCTTCACTCTACCTTTAGTCCTTTGAGTACTCTCAGGAGTTGGACCATTGTTATCCTTGTGAGAAAATACTAAGCTGATTTAGGGTTTTAAAGCAGTTTTTCTCTATTTGCTGATTGCTGGGGCTGTTTGTGTAGTTAGTATTAGACTTTGATCAAAGTATTTCAGTTAAACTGCTATTTAGCTGATGAGTGGGTTGCTTGTTGGCAGGTGTTTTTTTGTTTTGTTTTTGGTGTTTGTTTTGGTTTGGGGTTTTTTTTTTTTTTCTTCCTGCTGTTAATCTTGTTGCTAGAGGCATTAACTTGTAGAGTATGAGCTGGTGAAATTAACTGTTTTAATATCCCAGCTAGAGATACGGCCTTTAACTGACCTAAAGAAGATTGTTACAATTGATTTTTTTCTCTTGTTTTTCAGTAAGCCCAATAATAGTGTAACCTTAAATGGAGTTATATCCTTATAAGCCAATACCCCTAAATAAACCCGAAGCAAGTGTTTTCTCTTGGACATATAAAATTACATATAAAGCTTAGATGGACTTGTAACACATTAAGTGTTACCTAATGTCAACTAATACAGATTGTTAGAACTGTGGTCATTGAGTGTTTGATAATATATGAAAGAATTTCTAGACAGTATTTTTGAAAATAACATTGTTATGCTATTGCTTATCTGTTGGAGAACATCCCAGATTTGCTTACACTCTGTGCCTACAATGTTGAGTTTAAAGAGTTGGAATAAGAGGAATTGACAAATTCCTTCTATTCTTGGAACAATAGAAGTATGAAGTGTTAATACAAATATCACTGTGACCTCCAGTTGACAGGTTTGGTTAAGGCCAGATCATTTACAGGCACATTGGTAGTGGCTCTGATGGGTTGAGAACTATAATGTGGAGACATGTGAGATACTCATATTTTCCTCACATAGCCTCATCTCAAAATACATGGCATTTCTTAGATTGTCAGTAGTCATCAGTGGCTCGAGAAATGTTCTTACTAGACTTTAAAACAGAACATAGTATGTTTTCTCTCATTTGACTTTAAAAGGAAGTTTAATATATCTTCTTTGGAAAATTGTGGTATGAAAGTCTTATTTCCAAATAGGTTAAAAAAATGCTTATGCACACTTTATAACTCTTAAGTTTTTTGCTTGTTTTGTTTTGTTTTGAGAATGTGAAAGTACATTAAGTGGACTTCAGTAGTCTTGAGTGCCAAGAAAATACAGACAAGGGGTGTGATTGATGGATGGACGGACGGATGGATGAATAGGGTAGTGAAATTGTAGAAATACCATGCTTGTTTCTTGGGTATCAGTTTTCTAGACAGTCCAAATCTAAGCTCAAAAGAAAAGTTTAGTGTTAAGCACCTTTATTTCCATGGATAAGCTTCAGCTTACTCTTGCCAAGAGAAGAAGGCATAAATGATAGAGTGGAATTAGTTTGAAGAAGTCAGCCATTTTGTAAACTTCCAGATAGCAAATAGATTTTGATATATAAAAAGTTTTCTGAGATGACACTGCCTCTATTTCTATAACCATTTCACTTGGACTATTTGAGTAGTCCTATGAATGTATCCCTAAATGTGTTTATTGAAACCGAATAGCTGCCTCACAACAATTAAGTACATGTTATTTAAAGAGGAGGAACAAATAATAAAGTTTGAATTGAGTGTGTAGGCTCCCTATTATTATTTCCTTTTTCACACTAGTCGGTGATTTAACCTAAATTTTAATTGTATGTAAAGGGTCAATTGTCCTGTATCAAAGTTGCATTAAATAATTCCATCCACTTACATAAGGGGAAGATGTGAAAGAGGTAGAAACTGGGGCTAGTCCATATGCCTGTGAGTCAAGAAATGCTAAAGTAACACCCCATGTTAAGTTTGTGATTTTTGGTTTGGGTTTGTTTGTTTTGGATTCTTTTGTTTTGTTTTGTTTGTTTTTCGAGACAGGGTTTCTCTGTGTAGCTTTGGAGCCTATCCTGGCACTCGGCTCTGGAGACCAGGCTGGCCTCAAACTCACAGAGACCCACCTGCCTCTGCCTCCCAGGTGCTGGGATTAAAGGCAGGCGGTACCAATGCCTGGCTCTTTGTTTTTAATATATGATAAAAAGAAAAATAACCTTTGAGGTAAAGCAGTAATTCTGTTAACTGGAAATCTCCATCATTTTTCAGGACAGATAATTTTTACTGTGGGGTAAATAGGTTAAAATTATTATGTATGCTATTTGAATTTAAGTTCTAAAGTAATCTGTAGAGAAATCTATGCAATATATAATTTGTCAAGATTAATTTTCATCTGGGGAAAGGAGTTTCTAAGTGTCTCCAAAGCAGGTCACTCATTAATTGAAAGTCCTCCAAAAAGAGAACTATTGGGAAGCATGGTGTGTGGTGGTGGAAAAGAAAAACTCCCTCAGTTTTTGGAGGGAATATCTTTAAGATACTTAAGTGGCTGCGTTTACTTGGTGCAGTTAAGAATTAAACTTGTCAATTTTAAAGTTGCTGTTACATCTGAAATAAACTTACGTGATGTTCTGGTAGTGATCTGTCTGTAAATGTCATGAAACTCATTGTTGTGCTGAGTTTTACAGTCTGCAACTGTAAGTCGTTGTGTACTGTGACCCATACTGTTTTCTATTTCTTTAAGACCTAATTTAAAACTTACTAAAATAGTTCAGGTATACTTAGGGCTTAGCTAATTCAGACCTTGATAAAAACTGTCCAACAGGTGGGCAGCAGGCAACGTAGCCAGACCAGCTCCATCCCACAGAAGCCCCAGACCAACAAGTCTGCCTATAACAACTGCAGTTGTGGGGGTGGGGGTGCAGCTGAGGACCTGACTCTCTTCTGGTCCCATTTTCTGAGAGGCCCTCTCACCCTGTAAACTGGATGGAAACAGCATCGAAGAGAAAAAAGAATGTGGGGCAGTTATCTGCTGCATACCTCAACTTCAGTCCCATACCACCCTGCTACATGTGTTACAGGATTTGTATTTTCTCCCCTCCCTCCTTCCTCTTCCTTGCATTCAAGATTATGAAGCTTCACTTCTTCCTGTTTACCCTGGTTGTATATGGATGAGGTGGGGAGGTTAACCCCCTCCCCAATATATAACAGCCCTAAATCTTTATTATTAGTGAGGTAAACCAAATAACAAAAAAAAAATGGCATAAATATGAATAGCATTGTCAGATTGAGGGGAGGAAAAAAAAATCCCTGACCAATGTGTCTGTTTACTCAGAGAAAGAAAAGTAAGATCCACAGAGGTGAATGTAATTATTTAACATTTTAGGCTTTGTTCTAGTGTGTATGGCCTGTAAATATGCATATTCTGATTTATTCTCCCCCTCTTTGTTATGAAGATTTTAGTAGTTGAGTGAGACAGATTTTTTTTTCTTAACAAATGTTTAATATTTCTAATCAGGATGGTCTGAATTAGCACTTCACTTATTCTACAAGAAACAATGGATGATTGTGTGTCTTGGATACTATATCACTCCAAAATCCAGCAGTTTCAGACCACGGATTTGTTGGATCCCGTTATATACCAATCAAGCAATGTGTGACTTTTTCAGTTCTGATATAAGATCTTATGCCATCAATTATCCAGGGCTGTATTTTCTTGAAGGGTTGATAATGGCTATAGGAGCTACTTCATCGAACTTACATGGCTGTTAGACCTCAGTTCTCACTATGTTAGTGTATCCATTGGACTGCCTAACCTCATAATCCTAAATCTGATCTAGGAATCATTTGGAACATAAAATTAATACGAAATACCTGCTACTTAACAAAGCCTAGTGTTGGTCTTTAAAAATTACGGTCTTTCTGTATTATGATGAAAGCTTAAATCTTAACATTTGGGAAGGTGTACTATTGGATAGAATATGTTGGAATTTCTGTACATTGAATTAGGAGCTCATTTATAGTCCTCAACAATTCAAGACATGAGTTAAGTATGAATTAAAAACATACATGTTAAAATAGCTATAACCTTAACACAATACTGACTGAAAAAAATTTATTCTGTCAACCTAACTTCCTGAGCTTATCTATTTAGCTGGTTTGAGAAACCATATTGGCCATCAGGAGTCATTTCGAAAGATTTGAGCAGTCTTGAATTTTGGTTGTCATTAGCAATCTATACTGAAGAAAGCAATCTCCTACACTAAAGAAAACTATCTGTGTCTACTTGATGCTCACTTAAATAATTGCGACAGGTTTTCTCTGTATGTAGACCAAACTGGCCTTTACAGAGATTTAACTGCTGAGCCATCTCTCTAGGCCCATATTATAGATTTGGATTCACGATCCTACCTCCTACGTGTTGGTGTCATGAGTATACCACCACTTTGGCTAGCTGAAGATTTCCTTTACAAGTGGAAAATAAAAGTTCTGTCATCAATCTTGAGTTTGTTTTAAAATTATAAAGCAATATTGAGAGGAATATTTTTTTACACTGAATTGTTTTAAACATTGCTTCCAATATAAACAAGGCCCAAGGCTGGTGAGTTGAAAGTCAAAGAAGTCCGGGATTTATGAATCAAGCTACGTATGATTATATCAAAGCTAATTTTTGGATCAGGAGAGGAGTCTGAAGCAGTAAAAGCTTGAATTTAAGTCCAAATTGGGTCACATAGATTCATTTAAAAGAGAAATCCTAAACACAACACCATCTCTAGTTGTTGCATTCATGTGTTTTTAATTTTTCAAGTGTGTGTGTGTGTTACCTCATGCATGCATGAGGTCAGAAGTTTTCAGATCCTCTGAAACTGGAGGTACAGGTGGTTGTGAGCTGCCATATGGACACTGGGAACCAGTGGTTAAGTGCTCTTAATTGCTGAGCTATCTTTCCAGCATGTTTTCATTATTTTGCTGCCTAATCACAACTTCCACGAACAGATGACAGTTGACCTCAAGAATGACTTAATATTTCATGTATAAGCAAGTCTACGCATTTACCTATTCAAGTGATACATCTTACTTTTACACTTAAACATGGGTAAGTCCTAAAACATGATTGCTGAACTACCACCAGTTCTTGGTTTTGTAATGTAACAGTAGCATACTGACTTAGATACTGACGTAGGTCATGGGGTATGCTCAGACTGGTTCTGGCAGTGACTGAAATTGTGAGAAGAGGGTGTGGCCCTGGCCTAGGGATACCTAGCACTAATAAGAAGCCATACTCCTTTTTCTTTTGCATGCCAGGGATTGAACTGAGTGCCTTGCAATGTTAGGGTAAAGACTGATCTGTAAATAACATTCCCAGGCTACCCTCAGATTTGCTAATTCTGCCCCCACCTTTTCAACAACACCCCAACAGATAGTTTACAGGTGGTAAAGTGTTTTGGTAAGGGTACTAGGAACTGGACTGGAGTCCTTCAAGAGCAGTAAATGCTCTTAACTGCTGAGCCATCTCCAACTTCTGTTTTGTTTTGTTTTTCTTTGCCTGAGAAAATTTTACATAGTTCCAGAAAACACATTTTTCAAGTTTCTGCATACCATAAAGCATGGTGTAAGTAGCTTATTTCTTATAAATCACAAGAAATTTTAAGTATAGTGGACAGAAAAGCTATAGGATACAGTTGTAGATACTGCTTAAAGTATATGTGGTGGTGAATGTAAAAAATTTGAATCTAGTTTATTAGTCTATATATTAAGAAATGGGGAGAGGAGCGATAAAGAAATAAAATGAAATTATAGCAGACATCTGTTAATATGGAAGTAAAGCCATATTTTTAAAGGATTTATTTATTATGCATACAGTATTCTGCCTGCATGCTGGCCAGAAGAGGGCACCAGATCTCATAAATGGTTGTAAGCCACCATGTGGTTGCTGGGAATTGAACTCAGAACCTTTGGAAGAACAGTCAGTGCTCCTAACTTCTGAGCCATCTCTCCAGTCCAAAGTAAAGCCATATTAAGGAAGTGGAACCAAAAAAGTGACCAAAGATGCAAGTGAAAGAAGGGTCATTTGAGTTGTGGCTTATTTGTAAATTTTGTGAAATGTCACAAGATGGCTCAGTAGGTAATGGTGCTTTGGCTGTCAATTCTTACAACCTGAGTTCAATCCTTGGAGCCCACATGCTGGAAATAGAGCTGACTTCTACTGTCTGACCTCCATAAATGAATTCAACACACATGCATGAATGAGTGATTAAGAAATACAGAACCAGTTTTACATACTCTAGATTATGAAGTTTAGAAGTATTGCCCAACCTATTTTATGAGGAGAGCTTTATAATGGTAAGAATAAGGTCGAGAAAACTAGATCGCTATCATGATTAAAAGAAGGAGAATCATTAAAACATGAGCAAGTTATGTGATGATGTAGAATTTATCCCAGGAATTGAAAATGAATTTGTGTACATTATATTCCATCTTAACAGATGATGAAGGTCTCCTGTCTGGATCAGACCTAGGCCCTTGGTTTGTTTCCAGTTTTCAGCTTTCATTGGCAAATAATCCATGTTTCCTGGTGTCTCCAACATACCTGGGTCTTAGACTTTCCTAGCTTCATGAAATGGTCTTTCAAGACCTTGCAGATTGGAATCTGACCCTGCTGCACATTGCTTATCCTCAGTGGCCTTCTGGAACTGTGGCATAAACCTCTATGACAAATCGTTCTTGTCTCCTAAATTAGCCCCACTTAGATGCTGCTGCCAAATTCTGGGGACAGCTCAAGATACAGATAGTCTTGTCTCACAGTTGTGTTGGCCTCTACTGACCCTGAGAAAACTTTCTAGACAGTTGATTTAAGTATAAGTGATATTCTCAGTTTTGTTTTTTTCCTTAAGATGAACTTGCATTGTTGTAAAATGGAGCCTTTGTTGGGTGAGCTCTTGCACACAGTACTTTATCTATTGCCCCAGTCTGAAGTTTTCTTTTAATGGCATTAATCTATTAACAATTATAAATGCTTAGACTTTATCCTATTTTCCACTTGCAACTTATTAATTTTTCATTCCTTTCTGCTCCCTCACTATACATTTAGTCAAGAGCAGTGAGCAATACCTGTACCACAGGTATTTCTGTTCCATCTTGAAATTTCCTCTATCAAAAAAGAGCTGTGGGGCTGGAGAGATGGCTCAGAGGTTAAGAGCACTGGCTGCTCTTCCAGAGGTCCTGAGTTTCCAACAACCATATGTTAGCTCACAACTATCTGTAATGAGATCTGGTGTCCTCTTCTGGCCTGAGGGGTATATTCAGGGAGAACACTGTATGCATAATAAATAATCTTTAGAAAGAAAGAAAGAAAGAAAGAAAGAAAGAAAGAAAGAAAGAAAGAAAGAAAGAAAAAGAGCCTGAGTGTGAGGCATCTGATTATAATGCCTCCGTAGTCACAAAGAGGGATGAATGCTAATGCTCAACTTGCTTTCTCTTTTTAATTTTTTCTGCTGCCCCTGCTCCACAGGGCACTCTGCCCCATTGGTATATTTACCCTGAGTGTAAAAGATTTACACTCAGGGTAAATCTTCCCTCTTTGGTTAAAATTTTCAGGGAACTCCCTTCCTCATAGGTACATCCAGAGTGTGATATT